CATGGGGCAGGAAGGGGTCAAAGGTGAAGGGATGGCTGACTCCCACTCTGGAGTTCCTGGTGGTCGGACTGTTGGACGCCAGGTCAGGCAGCTTGGGTGTCAGCTTGGGGCGAACCCCGGGTATTGGGTGTGTGACCCCTCCATTCCTCACTTTCCTAATCTGCCGTGATGCTGCGGACTGTGGCGAAGACCAGCCAGGTTGGTTCCTGTGGGGTGCTCGGGCACTGGGGGCAGGTGCTGGGTGGCCAGTTCCAGCAGGAAGGGGTGGGTGGCTGTGGCCCAGGGTGGGCTGGGTGAGGCCTGTGGGGCAGGTGGGCCCTGGGCTGCTATGCTGGGGCTGCGGCTGTGGACAGATCCTGTGTTCTGTTTGCACTGGAGTGCTTGTCTGGGACGAGAACTTTGTTTCTCGAAACTTGTCTGATGAATTCAGATAAGCTTGTGGGGAGCCAGCAGTGTCTGCAGAGAGCAGAGCCTGTGTCTCTGTGGTTTGGGACGTCTCACACCCCTTCAGGCTTCTTTTTATAGGCCCTGTGTTCTTGCCCCGCGCTCCTGTGGGTGTCAGAAAGCCACAGATTTCTCTGAAATTTCGGTGTGTTCCACGAGGGTGTGATTGCTGCTCTGAGTTTCAGGACACACCAGCTAGGCCCTGTGGGGGTCCCTCCCCTCCACGCAGGGTGAGACCAGCTGTTGCTTAGTGCAGGCGGTGATGGGGGGACCTCGAGTTTCTAGCAGCAGGGAAGCGCCAGCCTTCAAAGGGTGCCTGGGGGTCCCTGAGCTTCTCCAGCCCCTGGGATTCAGGTCCTGTCTGGGGCTGAGAAGATACAAGACACTGACACTGTGTGACTCGGTTTTCAAAAAAAGAAAAATTTGCCCAGGCTTCTGTCGTAGCCGCAGCAGCGGACCCAGTTCCCACTCTGGGGTCTAAAGAGCGACCTTTCATTATGCAATTATTTAATCCCCTGCCTCTTCACCCCCTGAAGGTCTGGCCTCCACCGCTGGCACTGTCGAGGTCTGGGGGCAGGTCTGACTGGGTTCCTTTACCTTACCGAAGCCGGGGGGCCTGCACCGACCCAGCTTGTGTCCATCCCGGGGTCACCCACACTTGGGTGAACTGGAACGGGTGTCCGACCAGGTGCCGTTGCCAGGCCTCGCACAGGAGGGCACTTTCTTTTTTCCCAATTTGACCTCATTCTTTCCAGCCAGGTAGGTCGCGCTTTCTTCTCTGTGCAGGGAAGTTGACGGTGGTCGTTTTTAAACGATGATTATGGTTAATGGTTCTGTTTTGTGTTGGAGGGGCGTGGGGGAGGCTGTCATACTGTTTTTGGGGAAAGTTTCACTTATCTAATCCATGATTTGGTTAATCAGTAACAATAGTTTAATTGATTCAAATACGCCCCACGGTAACAGATGCCCGTGTCCCCTCCGCCCCAGGGACATCTTCATCACCAGCGTGGACGCCGCCACAACCTTCGAGGAGCTCTGCGAGGAAGTGAGAGACATGTGCCGTCTGCACCAGCAGCACCCGCTCACCCTCAAGTGGGTGGACAGCGAAGGTAGCCCTCGTCCCGTGTCGGCCAGAATCCTCAGCCTCAGGGGACTTCGCCAGGGCAGCCTCTTGTGCGGAGTGTGCCCAGCCTCTTCTGTGGGGAGACTTAAAAAAGTGGAATTAAACTTGTTGGAGCCAACTTTTCCCCAGGGGGGCTGGTGGGAAAGAGGTTGGCTGCAGATGCCTAACAAGGACCTGGGCCTAGATGCCCCTAGGAAGGGCTCTGGTCTTGAACTGCCTGCAGGGGGTCTCCCTGCCTCACCCTGGGCAGGTCCTCCCCTCTTCCTCTGACCTCCTTTCTCCTGTCCTGGCCTTTTCCAGTAGGTGCTTCTGAAGGATGGGCTCTTCCTGTTCTAGGGACCATGGGGAGGCTGCGTGCAGCCAGGGCTCGCCGTGTCCGCCTCCTCTCTCTCTCACACACATCCTGAAAAGGATGGGAGGGGATTGGGAGACATCCAGAGAGACCCCTTTCGCCCGGGGACTGGTGGGCGGCTGCTGGCTGAGGACACGGCTCTGTGGGTGGAGCCTGATGCCGCACCCATTGGGTTGGATACAGCCCCGCAGGGCGTGGGTTCTGTACGCCTCCATGTCCCTGTCCAGCCACGGAGGGCAAGGAACTTTCCCTCCACCCGGGACTGACCTCAGGAGAGTGTCCTCAGCCCTGTTCACTGCTTAGCCCTCCAAGTGGTGCCCAGGGCTGCAAGTGCACCAGCTTCCCTTCCTGGGTGGCTCTGATGCGGCACTGGGGGCCGGGTGACTCCCTAGTGTGGACGGCCATCCTTGGACCTCCCAACCCTGCCAGGAGGTGGCCAATCTGAGCAGTGGGACTAGACCCTCATCTGGTATGCTAAGCAGGCCCATCACAGCCCGCTTTGCCTTGGGCCTTCAGCGACCTCAGCACCGTCTCCTGCCCCACCCAGGTGACCCTTGCACGGTGTCCTCCCAGATGGAACTGGAAGAGGCTTTCCGCCTGGCCCGTCAGTGCAGGGACGAAGGCCTCATCATTCATGGTCAGTGGTGGGGTCTGTGGGGGGCGGCCCAGGGGGCTGTTTCTGGCTGTGGGTGCGTGCCAGACCACCTGGGGGGTTCGACGCCATATAGGATCATAGTTTAAAATCCTATGATGCCAGAGAATTTAGGGATGTCTAATATAATGCCATTTGGGTTTTTTTTCTTTGACTTTTTTTTTTTTGAGACGGAGTCTCGCTCTGTCGCCCAGGCTGGAGTGCAGTGGCATGATCTCAGCTCACTGCAAGCTCCGCCTCCTGGGTTCACGCCATTCTCCTGCCTCAGCCTCCCGAGTAGCTGGGACTAAGGCGCCCGGCACCACGCCTGGCTAATTTTTTTTTTTGAGACGGAGTCTCGCTCTGTCGCCCAGGCTGGAGTGCAGTGGCGTGATCTCGGCTCACTGCAAGCTCCGCCTCCTGGGTTCACGCCATTCTCCTGCCTCAGCCTCCCGAGTAGCTGGGACTACAGGCGCCCGGCACCACACCTGGCTAATTTTTTGTATTTTTGGTAGAGACAGGGTTTCACTGTGTTAGCTAGGATGGTCTCAATCTCCTGACCTCATGATCCGCCTGCCTCGGCCTCCCAAAGTGCTGGGATTACAGGCGTGAGCCACCACGCGCAGCCTTTTCTTTGACATTTTATTAACCCAAATGAAAACTGCTCTTATAAAGAACCCATAAACTGCTCAGAGGCTCCAGTGGCCAGCGTAGAGCTCACGGTGCATGTGGACAGTGGGGACAGCCCCACCAGCCCCCTCACCTGCCCGGTGCTCCCTGGGCCCGGCTCCCGGCTCACAGCTGTCCTCGGCTTTAAGTTCAAAGCCCTGTGATGAGCTGACGCGTGGGAGATGTGACTTTGTCTTTAGGTGAGCACTTTAGACTCCCCAGTACTGCTGGGGTCTCCCGGGCGTCTGGGGCCTGCGAGTGTGGTTCTAGCAGCTGTGGCCAGCCAGCCACGTCTGTGTCTCTGTGTCCACTTCTGGCTTAGCTTGGGCTCCTTGCCAGGCTTCTGGCCGTGGACCACTGAGTCTAAGATGGGACCAAAGCTCGAAACTGCCCACAGTTTTCTGACAGATCCATCATTCTCCTGGACACGGGGCTACTTGGTTACAATATTTAATTTTTGTAGCCCTTTATATCAACGTGACTTTAAATTTAAAGACTAGACCGGGTGTAGTGGCTCACGCCTGTAATCCCAGCACTTTGGGAGGTCGAGGTGGGAGAATCACTTCAGCCTAGGCGTTCAAGACCAACCTGGGCAACATAGACCCCCATCTCTCCAAAACTTTTTTGTTTTGTTTTTTTGAGACAGAGTCTGGCTCTGCCCTCAGGCTGGAGTGCAGTGGCGCTATCTCTGCTCACTGCAACCTTCACCTCCCGGGTATAAGCGATTGTCCTGCCTCAGTCTCCCGAGTAGCTGGGACTACGGCATGTGCCACCACGCCTGGCTAATTTTTTTTTTTTAGATAGAGTCTTGCTGTGTCGCTCAGGCTGGAGTGCAGTGGCGAGATCTCAGCTCACTGCACCCTCTGGCTCCTGGGTTCAAGTGATTCTTCTGCCTCACCCTCCCGAGTAGCTGGGACTACAGGCATGCGCCATCATGCCTGGCTAATGTTTTGTATTTTTAGTAGAGGCGGGGTTTCACTGTGTTAGCCAGGAGGGTCTCAATCTCCTGACCTCGTCATCCACCCGCCTCAGCCTCCCAAAGTGCTGGGATTGCAGATGTGAGCCACTGTGCCCAGCCTAATTTTTGTATTTTTAGTAGAGATGGGGTCTCGCCGTGTTGGTCAGGCCGGTCTCTAACTCTTGCCCTCAGGTGATCCACCCGCCTCAGCCTCCCAAAGTGTTGGGATTACAGGCGTGAGCCACCGTGCCCGGCCCCAAATTTTTTTTTTAAATAGCCAGATGTGGTGGTGCACCTGTAGTCCCAGCTACTCGGGAGGCCGAGGTGGGCGGTCCTTGAGCCCAGGAGGTAGAGGCTACAGTAAACTGTGATTGTGCCGTTGCACTCTAGCCTGAGTGACGGAGCGAAACCCTGTCTCAGATAAATAAACTTGTAGCTGTGCCTAACCTCGTCCACTTTATTGCGATTGTGATAGTAAGCACATTTTGCTTTTCTACATTGAAAGATATGGTGCTTTAAAAATTCACGTTATTTTCTAGGTAAAACAAAAATAGTTAGGGCCGGGCTTGGTGGTGCACACTTGTAATCCCAGCACTTTGGGAGGCCGAGGCCGTTGGATCACTTGAGGTCAGGAGTTCAAGACTAGCCTGACCAACATGGTGAAACCCCATCTCTACTAAAAATACAAAAATTAGCCAGGCGTTGTGGCGCGCGCCTGTAATCCTAGCTACTTGGGAGGCTGAGGCAGGAGAATTGCTGGAACCTGGGAGGCAGGGGTTGCAGTGAGCCAAGATCGTGCCACTGCACTCCAGCCTAGGCACAGAATGAGACTCCATCTCAAAAAAACGAAAAACAAAAAATGTTTGTTTTACTAAAATTTTAATACTTTTATGCGTATATACATGTATATACACGCACATGCACGCGCACACACACACACATATATGTAGAATTAAAGATGGGGTTTTGTCATGTTGGCCAGGCTGGTCTTGAACTCCTGGTCTGGAGCCATCCTCTCATCTCGGCCTCCCAAAGTGCTGGGATTGCAGGCGTGAGCCATCATTTCCAGCTAAGTTTTAATATTTCCTAGGCATCTATTTTGATAATGTATCGTGGAAGCCCAGGATGTGTGTTAAAATAATTTTGAACTCTGTCTTGAGTATAAAGAAATGGAATCTAAAGTGCTTTTAAAAGTCAGTTTTCAAAGTAATTGCAGTTCTTCCCCATTTTTATATAGTTTAAAAATACAAATCAGTAGCTTTCTCTGACGGCTCTGCTGTCCAGGTCCCTCTGATTGGCTTTTACCCTAAATTTTTCTGTGGGTTTTTAAGTCCTACCTAATGGAGCCTGGCCTACGTAGACGCACTGGGTTTCACGTCTCCCAGGAGCGGGCTCTCATTGGCAATGCCACGTGCGCCTTGTGTGAAGTCCGTGTGCTCAGCCTGCCTGAGGCGGGACTTCCTCCGTGAGACTGTTGAGTGGCAGCTACGGGGCCTTGACGCTCTCTCTTCCTCTCTCTGTCCAGTTTTCCCGAGCACCCCTGAGCAGCCAGGACTGCCGTGTCCAGGAGAAGACAGTGAGTACTGGGGTTTCCTACACCGGTCTTGCATGTTACGGGGTTGAGCTATTGATCCGTTGTGCCAAGGAGGAGGCAGTGGTGCCGTTTTCGGAGGTTCACCCTCATGGAGCGTCAGGGCGCGAGCAGCCATGGTGACCACAGCTGCTGCCTGTGCGTGTTCTGGCTGACAGCACCGCGCGGCGGGGGCCTCGCTTGGCTGGTTGGTGGCATGAGAAGTCCGGGGGGCCTTGCTGTCTCCCTAGGAGGGAAACGCCAGGTGGGACGCTGGACACTGCTCCCATGTGGCTGCCTCAGCTCATGACCACCCCCAGGCCAGTTGTCCACTCCTCCTGGTCCCTGCTGGCCCCTGAGCTGGAGTGGGGGCTCCCTTCATTCCACGCTGGCTCCATCGGGAGGAGAGGAAGGAAAGTGAGTCCTGGGGGTTGTGGCTTCAGAGAGAAGCTTCTGACCTCACTTCCTACCACATCCCGGAGACTGCTGGGCCCTGAGCAGGTGGCTACGCTGCTGTGGGGCCATGCATCCCATGCCTGTGTTTGATGGGGTTCCACCCCCACCCTCCAAACCCCACACTGCCTCCAGCATCCGTGCCATGCCTTAGTTTGTTGTGTGGGCAGGAGATCCTGGACCGAGGCCGCTGCCTGTCCAGTGCAGGGCACGTGGCTCAGTGTCCCCAACCCCTGCTGCCAGGGTGCACACCAGGTTGGCCTCAGGCTGGATGCTGGGTGTCGGTGGTGCCCTGTGTTGGGCAGGAAGCGGAGGTGGGGGCAGATTCAGGCCAAGAGGGCAAGTGGGCAGTTGGGGTTAGAGTCTCGGCTTCCAGTGAGAAGTGGGGTCGAATAGAGGTTTGGCAGCGCTTAGCATTGGGGAGGCCCCAGGAGCCACGGGATTTCCATGATCACCCCGGGGAGAGGGCGGCGTGGCATCCTGGTTTCAAGCCCTCAGCCAACAGGGGTCCCTGAACCATGGCCGGCAAGGCCGAGGAGACATCCAGAGGCGGGCCCTGGCAGGAGTGGAGCGGGTGGTCTGGGGCTGGACCTGCCCAGGGGCCGGCAGGAGGAGATGGGGTATGGCCGTGGCAGGCAGACACCACCGGGCGGTTTTGGCAGCATGAGGCAAGTGTGAGGAGGCGGGGGGCACGTTCCTTTGTTCAGCCCTGGTTGTGGCTCTTGGAGATGGTACCACCTGGGCTGGAGAGATGGGGACCCTGTGTGTCCCAGTGGGAGGCAGGTGGAAGGGAGATGACATGTGACGTCCACGGCCCCGGGCGGGAGTGGCCGGGCAAGGGTGCAGGTTGGAATTCGGAGGCCATGTTGAGAAGGCAGTGGGGGAGTGGGGAGTCTCAGGGGTAAGAACTTTGGGGGCCTTGAGGGTGCCGGACGGAGTCCGCACAGGCCGGCGAGGTCCAGGAGCAGGGGTGGGTGCTCGGCTGTAGTTTTGCCTCAAGTGGGACTGGGGCCGGCTTGTGGGCTGCAGGGGCCCTGCAGGGGTGAGGGTCAGGGAGAGACTTCTGAGATGGGGCTGTTCTGGGGGTGCCTGGAGCAGCTCAGGGTGGGGCTGGGTGCGAGCTCATAACGTTTACGTAAACACATAAATAAGGCATACTCCCCGTGGGTCAGACGATGGTTGTCCCTCCGCAGCGCCCTGCAGCCTCATGCTGCTGCTTTGTAGGAGGGGACCACGGGCCTTGTTTATTTGCCACCTGGATGATTTTTTGACTTGGTGACAGGACTGTGCTCATCGGTCCCATGTGCGCTGAGACCGTGCACACCCAAAGGTGTCCACCTGTGGCCAGCGTAGCCCCTGGGGGCGGGGGAAGCCCGCAGTGTTTGTGCGCCATGTCTGCCTCTTGTCTCAACCCTGCCTGGGGGCCTGGGGTCTGCTCTTTCTGTCTGCGACCTCAGCAGCGCCTCTCTGCCCGTATGGACAACCTGCCGGCCTCACGTAGGGACGGGGGCCCGCGTTTGCTCGGCCACTGCGGTGGAGGAAGGGGAAGTTGGGGGGTCACAGGATGCCCCGGGGCCTGGGCTCTGCAGGGGAGTGTGTTGTGGGGGTGGCGGCTGAGTCACTGTGGGGAATGCGGAGAACGTGGCCAAGCCCCAAGGAAGGACCTCCTGGGACACATGAGTAGGTCCTTGAGATGTTTACCAGGGTTGGCTCCACGGCTTTGGGGACCACTCAGCCTGGTTGGGGACATTCCACCAGAGCCTCTGGGGTAGCCTTTGCCGAGGAGGTCAGAGGTGGATGCCGGGGGTGGGGAACCCTGCCCTGCCCTGCCCTGCGTGCTGATGTCCACCTGGACGTGGGGTGGGTTTTATGGTGCTAGTGTCAGGAGTGTGTGAGAACACGCTGCCCACACGGGGTCCCAGGCCACCAGGGCTTGGGGGGCTGGCGCTCTCCCTGATGCCGTACGTGTTTCTTTTGCTGTGACTTCGGTGCTCATCTCAGACGGGACACCCTGCTCTGGTTGCCAGTGGCCGCCGCCCGGGGCTCTGTGGTTTGAGCGCCTGTGGGGATGTTCACAGGCGTTTTTGTCCTCAGGTAATACTGCCCGGGCTGAGGGTCAGTGAGAAGGGTCAGACTGGGAGGTGTGGGCAGTGGATGGAGCACACCAGAGGCGGAGGAGGGCAGGACTGCGGCTGTACCGTGGGCCTGGTTCAGACGCCTGGACATGCCTGTCTCACCGTCAGCAGAGGACCTTCTGGCACATTCTATGTGTGTCTAGATGAAGTTAATTGGTTTTATAGATTTCTACAAAAACTCTATACTTGCAACTATCACGTCTGTGTAGTTCCAAACCCAAAATATATTCCAAAAGGAAAGCCCGTGCCCGTCAGCGGTCACTCCCTGTTCCGCCTCAGCCCCGGCCCTGGGCACCTCCGCTCGGCCTCTGTCTCTGTGGCCCTGTGGATTCTGGACGTTCGGTGTCCGTGTGGCCCTGCAGATCCTGGACGTTCGGTGTCTGTGGAATCCCGCACGTTCGTCCTTTTGCCTCTGGTGGCTCTCACCCGCCTGACCTTCCCAAGGTTCTTGCATGCTGGGGCATTCTTAGCACTGCAGATCTTTTTTCTATTCTGGTAAAATGCACATAACATCTACTTTTGCCATCCTAACTTTTTTTTTTTTTTTTTCGGGGGGAGTGGTGTAGGGGACGGAGTCTTGCTCTGTCACCCAGGCTGGAGTGCATGGTACAATCTTGGCTCACTACAACCTCTGCCTCCCAGGCTCAAGCAGTCCTCGCGCCTCAGCCTCCTGAGTAGCTGGGATTACAGGTGTGCGTTACCACTCTTGGCTGAGGTTTTTTTGTTTTTGTTTTTGTTTTGTTTTTTGTAGAGATAGGGTTTTACCATGTTGCCCAGGCTGGTCTCAAACTCCTGGACTCAAGTGACCTACCCATCTTGGCCTCCCAAAGTGCTGGGATTACAGGTGTGAGCCACTGAGCCCGGCTCCATCTTAGCCATTTTTTAAAGGTACAATTCATTGGTATTTGATACTCACATTGCTGTCCAGGCATCATCACCGTCCATCTCCAGAACTCTCTTCATCTTCCCAGACTCAGCCTCTGTCCCCATGAAACACTCACTCCCCATTCTGCCTCCCCCAGCCCTGACACCCACCCACCGCTTTCTGTTTCTGTGAGTTTGGTGACTCTAGGGACCTCCTGTGAGTGGAGTCGCACGGGATCTGTCCTTTTGTGACTGCTTATTTCACTCAGCGCCGTGTCCTCAAGGTGCAGCCATGAGCAGCCTGTGTCACAGTCTCCTTCTTTCTTTTTTTTTTTTGAGACGGAGTCTCGCTCTGTTGCCCAGGCTGGAGTGCAGTGGCCGGATCTCAGCTCACTGCAAGCTCCGCCTCCCGGGTTCCTGCCATTCTCCTA